CTGTGCTGGCTGGGGGATTCTGGGAGTTGAAGTCCACAGGACTTAAAGTCGCCAAGGTTGAAAAACACTGTTTTAGATAACAGATTTTTTTTAAAAAAATGTTAAATGGACATGTTAGTACTTTATTATCACTAGATTCCATTTAATATAAAATTTTTGTCTTAATACACTTCACTTAAAATTCTCTAAATGACAAAAATGGCTATTGTTTTTACAGATGGCATTTTATAATGCTCCAAAAATAAATCAATGTTAATTAACTTTCTGCAGAGAAAAGAGCCTGAAAACTCCAGCAAAACCACTGGGATGGGGAAAGAATAAAATTTCTCCTATTTTTCTTTCCATCTGGTAGATCTTATAAATTCAAAATAAACAGACAAAATCTTTCACCTGTACATAACCTGAGCCATTTGAAAGACAAAAGTTTCACTAGAACACTGTTGATTAGAAATACGATTCCAAACTAAAATACTACCTTTAAAAAATAAGTGCAATAATATTATCATATATACTTATATTGTCTTTTAAAGGGCAAAGCAAAATTGGGCAAAGGTAAAAATGTTTCCCCATTATACAACATTTATTTATATGAAAACTCACCATCATTTTATTGTTGTTAAAGGATCCTTCATAATATAATCCAAACTGTGTGACCACAACACCATTGCCTTGGCAAAAATCATCTTGCCACATCCCCATGTATTTTTCTCCCCTAAAGATACAGAAACACATTATTGTCTCTAAAATCTGAAAAACTGAGAAATGAGATGACATTCTAATTTAAGTAACAGTTTATTATAGTTGAGCAATTGTTTCAACAACTACTAAGATCGTATCAAAAATCTATTACCATCCTTTCAGATTTAAAAACTTGTACTAACAGGCGCAGACTTTTGTGAATTTCTCACTCTTAAATTCAAGACGGGTGATTAGGTGTCTANCAACAATGGATACTGATGCTTGAAGACAAAACAAAATTCACTAGTTGAGATCTTATCAGACATACATAAATACAAACAAACATGCATTACACAAAATATGGACAAAATGTATAACATATATGTAGGTATATAGCATGTGTATTTGTCTCTTATCTATGCATAGACTTTTAAGAGCAGGCAGCAGAAGTTCACTTTTAATGTGTGCCAGTGTGCCCACAGTAAAAAAAGATGACAATAAAGATTATCTGTTATTATCTATTTTGAAGTTACTGAATTTAGGATAAGTCATTAAGGAGAGGCTGACCTGTCAGTGAAATGGAGAAGGAGAAAGGATCAAGCACAGGGAGAGCACAATGTGCCTTGTTAATTTTTGCCTAGTTTAGCCATGATTGCTGTATATTATCTTAGGCAATTCATTGGGTGGCTTATTTAACTAGTTTGGTATTTAAAGAGACAACCTTGTGTATTCTGCTTCCAAAAACTAAGGTACGTTCTCAAAGAATTCCTACTGAGTCTAACTGTTAAAAGGCCTTCTAAAAATTCTAACAAATACTATCCATATCGAAGTTTCCACTTGTGTATAAATAAGCCACTGTTTCTCAACCTTGGCGACTTTAAGTCCTGTGGACTTCAACTCCCAGAATCCCCCCAGCCAGCTGTGCTGGCTGGGGGATTCTGGGAGTTGAAGTCCACAGGACTTAAAGTCGCCAAGGTTGAGAAACACTGTTTTAGAAGAGAAGCAAGAAAGCAGGAGGAGTCATGGCTGAGCTGGCACCCGGGATTGGCACTCAAGTGCTCACAGGCATCAGCACGGAATTCTGGGAGTTGAAGTCCCACAGAACGTAAAGTCGCCAAAGTTGAGAAACACTGCTATAAGCTATCTATGAAACCTATGAATGGGCAGAATGAAGCAGTTTTTGTAAACCTTCCAGATATGAATTGATGATGTTATTTAGTTGGGTAATGAAATGTCTGCCAGCAGACAACCAAACTCAGAGAGAGCACCAAGGACTCTTTATCTTCCAGATGTGTTGGTCTCCAATTCCCATCATTCCCAAGCACCAGAAGAGTTTTGGCCACATTTGATGGCAGTGGAAGATGAAAAAGCAACACGCCTAGAAAGTCATGTGGTTGAA